ACATTGGATCGTCTTGGGAAAGTATGTCGACGATAGACACCTGGGTGGAGGACGACGACCAGTCGGGCTTCTCGGTGCAAAACCTCCCTTATGGGATCTTTAGCGCTCCCGAGAAGGACCGGCGTATCGGCGTCGCCATCGGACGGTACATTCTCGATTTGAAGGTTCTGGCCGAGAAGGGGGCTTTCGCTGCCCTCGACATCGATAAAACCACGCTGGAAGAGCGGACGTTGAACAGATACGCCGCTCTGGGCCAGGGCGTGCACCGCAAAGTGCGGGCCTTTTTGCAGAGCGTCCTCAGGGCAGATACCTCGCTTGGACATATACTGCGCGATGACGCCGCGCTGAAGAAAGAAGCCCTTGTCCCCAGACAGACAGCCCAGATGCATCTCCCCTTTGACATTGGTGACTATACCGACTTCTTTACCAGCCCCTACCATGCTGAAAATGTCGGTGCACCGTGGTCCTGTCCTTTTTTTTCTTGACATGCTAATCGCACCAATCTGTAGTGCACCGACATTCTCCGGCCGGGAACTCGGCCGCCTGAGAGTATGTATAACATGCCTCTTGGCTATCACGGGCGCAGCTCCTCGGTCGTGGTATCAGGCACACCTGTTCGTCGACCTCGAGGCCAATTTCTCGTAAATGGGGCGCCAGCATTCGGGCCCAGCCAAAAATTGGACTTCGAAGTCGAGTTTGCTGCCTTCATTGGGGAAGGGAACGAACACGGTACCGCTATTCCAGTGGTCGAGGCCGAAGAGCACATCTTTGGCGTGGTGCTTATGAATGACTGGTCGGCAAGAGACATTCAAAGCACCGAAGCGACGCCGCTGGGACCGTTCAACGGCAAGAACTTCTGCACCACCATATCTCCCTGGGTCGTCCCGTTAGATGCACTGGAACCACTTCGGACAAGGCCGGTGCCATCGGTAAGCACTCCTCCCCTGTTGGATGGAACGACCGCTCATGTTTTTGACAAGCATGCCTCGCTGTTACCCTATCTGCAGGAAGCTCGTGAGGATACTGTTTACGACATCCCCGTCGATGTCTTTCTTGAACGTGGGTAGAGAAGCAGCCGGGCCTGTCAAATTACTAACAGTCACAGTGAATTCCCAAGAGTATCACCTCGTCCAAGGCAACACGAAAAATATCCTCTTTTCGTTCGCCCAAATGATCGCCCATCACACGGCCGGCGGATGCCCCTTGAAACCAGGAGATCTCATCGGGACGGGAACATTGTCAGGTTCCACCCCATCTGAGCTTGGATGCCTCCTGGAAGCCACTCGTAACGGTTCAAACTCACTGGAAGGAAGTGCGCTGAATGAAGACAAGAGAAAGATTAGTCGGGCCTGGTTGGAGGATGGAGACGTCGTCAAGTTCAGGGTCGGGACCGCTGGCAGCAACAGAAGACCAGTTGTCGATTTCGGCGGCTGTGAAGGCAAGGTTGTTCCGCAACCATGATCTCTGAAGCGAAACATAGAAGTCTCTCTCAGCGAATAAAACATAATCTCTCTGACAGAAAGGCTCTCGACGGTTGAAAGGCGCACGTTACCGGGATGTATTGTGCCCAAACCTTTCATACGTGGCTCGACCGAGGGAGAGATCGAGTACGGTGCTTGCACCAACACCAGTAGCCCAGGACTGTATGCGTATGCATAACTCTCATCCAACATCTCTTGATTCGTCCTCCTATCTGCTCTATACCACTTATCATGGCGCACAAGCTATTTCTCCTTGGCTGTGCTTCGGTGACTAGCCACAGCGGGATCGCAAGACTTACTCGTAATCTGGAGGCGCATCGCCTGTTTCTGCAGTTGCTGCGCAAAGTTTCTATCCTTCACATCAGCCAGCAACTTCTATCCGCGCTCGGATGTGTATTTCTTGCCATTTGCCAGACTGAACAACCGCATCGGCCCCCACGTAACGACAAGTGCAATGTCATCCATCGCCAGTAGTCAAACTCTAAGTCTCGTAGACTGTGTATCTCTACTGGTCCAAAGGCTGCAAAGCTCATTGAGTTGGCTCCGTGAGGAAGTCATGAACCTTTGTCACCACCCATCAAGGCTGGAAATGTGGTTTGAGAGCTCGAAGCGAAGACGGCTGCTTTTCTCAATGGGCACTCGGCCCGGTTGCTCGTCGATACGGTGACCGAAGATCTCCTCAGCATTTCAGCTCTCTTACCGCTTCGCCTCCAACCCGGGAAGCGCATGCCAATCAGCGAGCGAGAGGGTGGATTTTCACAGATTTCCTGCCCTCCGCGGAGTGTGATACGACATCCTTGTCAGCGAGCGACTGCAATGATCGTCAAGTGGCGTGAGTTTGCTCTATTGCGGGTTTTTAACTTGGAATCTCGAGATGCAGAGCGGTGCAACGCTGCTGAAAGAAACATTGACGGGCTCCGGTCAGGGTAGCAAATGCAGGCAGAACCATCGCCCATCGGGGATGGGATGTTTGGAACCATGAGCCAGTTGGAGTTCGACATTCGCCTTGCTCTTCAGCTGAGTCCATTTAGAGATTGATTCGTATGAGGCTCCGTCCCTTGAAGAGACCATTTGGTTTCCACGTCGCCCGTGAGAGGAGCTCAAACACACGTCTGTGACTTTTGTTTCTTGTCCGCCGGGAGGTTCATGGAAGGCCCGGTTACTGATCAGACCGACCGTGGCCAAAATTCAAAACCCCGGGATTCGACGGTGGCGGACCAGATCTTCTTCTTGCCTCAGATAAGGAAAGGGGCTGGGGAGAAATCTCGGAGTAGAAGCACGCACAGGGTGTCCAACAAGATCAAAGACTTCGAATTCGAATTCGGATAAAGGCTGGGGAAGCTCTGGGCCGCACTGCTTATAGGCCACAGCAGCTCTACGCCACCGACTCTGCCTGATGTCAGCTCGGCAAACGGGCCAACCCTCTGCCCACCACAGCTGCTGCTGCTGCTGCTAACTGTATCTGTTTATGGACAGCAGATCGCGTTCTTTGCCGTCTCTGTTTCCTGGTTGGTCGCCCCAGTGGTCCCGATTCCGTAAGCACCACCATGTAAAGCAGATCGCAATGGGAGATCCAGGCTCTTAGCCTCTTACTGAGGCGCCCTGTTTACTTAGCTGGGGTGTGTGAGAGCCTGTGAGGGATACTGATAAGTTCAATCGCGCGTATCTCGACCCGACGCAGTCAGCAGCAACACCAGCACCAGCACCAGCGGCACAACGGTTCGCACGTAACCACTTAACGGGCTCTGAACGTGGTCCTGATCAGGCAGGTCGGGTTCGTCGTTTCAAAGTCAAAATCTCGCGGTAAGGGTCGCCCACCACTGGCTGATATCGTTCTTAGCTCAAAGTGTGAGATTCAGCTGGAGGTCGTATATAACCACCGCCTGTCTGGACGATGGGGGAGGGCTGAACTTCCCGTCTTTCCACCACGGCTCATCTCAGGTCAGCACGGCACGGCAGGGCCAGGGTCTCCAGTCCACACCCAGAAAACACAACATAGCTACTCGAGAGATCTGTTTCAGCACCAAAAACCGATCCCCTAACCCTGAGATACTGCGATACCAGAGTCAAGTCCAACCACTCCACAGGCAAATCGAACACCATGGCCTCGATCAACACCTCGGCGCCGACGCTCAAACACGTCCTCAACCTCAGCCTCACGCCGACGACGGTGCTCGACGCGGGTGCCACGCCGCGCGGGCGGATCAGCTGGGTGGAAACGCCGGCGGGCGAGCTGACGACGCCGGCGGGCGCGACGGTCGCCACCGTGCTGCCCGGCGGAGGCGACTACTGCACGCGCCACGTCGACGAGCTGATGCTCGAGGTCGACCTGCGGGTAGTTGCGCAGACGGCGCCGGACCCGGCCACGGGCGCCTCGACGCTGTTCAAGTTCCAGAGCGTCGGGTACGACAAGCTGATCAAGCCCGTCATGGGCGCCCTGGACGGGGCACCACCACCAGCCGCCAGCGAAGGAGGGGATGAAGCGGCAGAGGAGATGCCCGCGGCGCTGTACGGCACCGAGGTGCTCTGGTGCAACACGTCCAGCAAGGAGTACTGGTGGATGAACTTCGCCGTCCTGGTCGCCAAGGTCGCGCTGGTCCTCGGCCCCAAGGGCGTCGAGAAGGTCGACTATGCCATTTATCACGTCGTCGTGTAAAGAATCGGATAGCTCGCGTCTCAGGGGTGGCTCAAACTCAAGCGGAGGGACGGAAGTGGTGTGCAGTATGTGCAGTATGTGCAGTATGTCTCAGACGTATGTGTGGACGTATGTACGCGTGGGTCCAACTAATATAAGTATTCCTTGCATGTGCTTCCTTGTGTCTCCATTGGCCCTAGAGAAAACGAATTAACTAGAAGTGAAAGACAAGACCTCATCTCCGACACTCCCTCGGACACTCTTTCTCAAGAGGACATCTCCCTCCTCAGCATTGGGCAGAACCACTTCAATACAACACAAATGCAAGATAGGTATTAAATGTGTCATCGCATCTGTAGTGACGGACTATGTACCTACGTAACTAGCCCTTATATCCTATGCCCACGTCCAACACATAGCCAACAGCCAATGGCTATATGACCACCCTTGACCATCGCCTGAACCATCCCTGGGCTTATAACCATAAGCCGTAACCCATCGCCATCACCATGACCTCCCCAGAGAGCAAGACGCCAAAACACAGCCCTCGAGTCCATTTGCTTTTTCTTTTTGTCATTCACACATGCTTCCCTTCTCGTCTTGCTCCATACATTATTCATAAACTCCTCGCGTGCTGCATTTTGTCCTTTTTTCGTGTGAGCATCAATAAGAGCCATCGTTCAACCATTCAATCATCCATCCATATAAAGATACATGGCCACGTATACATGAAGCCGATAGTGGGGGTGAGGCGGGAGGGGGAGTGTGCTAGTGCAAACAACAAGGACACGATCCATGCCACTAGTACCACTCAGGGACGCCTGGTGCCTGTGTGACGTTCGGGCTTGTCCTGGAAGAATCCCCCACCACCAGCTTCTCTCAGCTCAGTGCTGAAGTGTGGAGGTCTGACTGTCCTCCGACGTCGCTCGTGAATGTGTAGCCGGGCTGCTAACCGACTTGGGAGATTGGATCTCAAGCAGTTCTGTGACCGTGCCGGCGGGCTCTTTATCGAACACGAGTGGAAGGTCCACGTGCAACGACGGTAGACTGCCCGTCCGCTCATAGAGAGTTCGGTCCTCTGTGACCTGGCTCCGGGTAAGGGTCTCCGTTTGTGTCCCCGCGGATGTCGACCCGGACCCGGGTGTCGACATCGACGCAAGCCACGACTTGTTGCGCAGGTCGACCGAGAGCATCTTGACCTTTCGGTACGTCAAGCACACTCTTGCCTTGAGTGCGCCGGCACAGGCGGCGCAGATGCCGATGTGGTTCTCTACGCTAGCCCAGATGAAGACCAGCGCGTAGTTTTCTGTTGGTTGGGCACGTTTGATTAGCAAGATGTCGATGGCCTGGATCCCGGAGACGAAGAGAGATTTCAAAGAAAGTCGGTGGGAGCAGGGTGGAGCGGGGCGGCGGCGAGGTGAAGGTGGGCATACCTGAGAGATTGGGTGAAGTGTCAATCTCATAGACGGCGACGAGCCGAAAGATACTGGCCAAGATGACCCTGATTGTAAACAATACGTTAGCACTATCCTTCAACTGAACGGAAGAGAGTTGTCACTTACACGAAACAAATTCCAAACAACGCATATAAGCTCCACCGATGTTCACGAACTGTTTGAACCTTCCAGAGAAACACCATCGGTATCAAGTACATGACCACATCGTTGACAATCATGAAGCTGGCATTGAAATAGAAGTAGGCCAACAAGTTGATGCACTTTCCCTTGTCGAGTTCACTGGTCGGTTCGTGGTATTGGCGCCACGCGTAATTCAAGGGCACGCATTGCAGCAATATGACGAAAACGGAACTGAGGCCAAAGGCTACTGCAGTGAGTTGCATGAAGTGAATGAAATATCTCTGGGCACGGGTCTGTGCCAGGCCGTAGTAGAACGTCAACCATGCGTGCTTGACGAACATGTTGCACAAGAAGTAAGGGGGGAGGGTCGCAATGATGAGCTATTTTCGTGTCAGCAGACGTGACAGGAAGGAACCGATGAGAAAAGGAGAACTCACCTTCTGCAGGGTCTCTCTGCGGAGGAACTCGATGGCAGGAATGGAAGCTCCAAGTCCTTTGGCCGCCGCTGAAGTACGTCTCAGTCATCATAACAGTATACCTTCGTTTGTCTTTCTTACCGGCACAGACAATGGAAGTCATCACCAGAGCGAAGAACTGGATCGAGATGAGTGACGGTCTGAAACTGCAAGGAGGGTCTATCGTACCGTACTCAACACCAAACACCCTGCTAGAAGTCAGCCATCGTCGATGGATCAGTCGCCCGTTTTTCTGCGAGGCACTCACATTTGCTTGCGGTCAACCGTCCAACGGTCGCCAATTGCCTTTCCAGCTCGATCGATACTGAGACGATTGTCGAAACGGCAAGCACAAGGCTTGTAGCCACGAGGACGGCATCCTTTGAATCCAACATGTTTGAAAGTGCTGCAAGTCGCCGTGAAAAGGTAACCTCAGAAAAAGGTGTAGACGTACCCGAACACCCAAGGGTGTCAAACACCCGATATATAGAAGGCGCTCGCAACTTTCTGTGCACCACGACCCCGTTGCCCTGGGTTTGCTAATATTTTCATGGGTCCAGATGCCATTCCTTGCCACTTCAATCCGTGGCGAGGTCTGTAGAACAAGCTCGCACCTGAATTGTTCAAGTCCAAGATGTCAGTTGTGGGCTAGCGAAGTACCGCAGCTATCTCCGGCCAATGGCGATTTTGAAAGAAGCTTCGGATGCCAGACTTGCAAGGGATCGATTCAGAGTTCAAAACTGTTTGCTCTCCCCGCTCATCCTCATGAGGATGAGAGAGTGGAGTGCACGACCTGTCAACTCGGAAACACGGCGTTTTCGTGCCGTCGAGCCATGGAAAGTCTTCTGAATCGTGTCTACCTGGTTAGAGTAGGCCGAGATGGGCCCAGTGGGACTTTCATATCCCATGTACATCGCAAGGCACCAGGTCGTTCTTGTTAGACTTTGCTGAGAGTTTTGATTCTGGTCCAACCCGTCCTCGCGGTGCGGTACGGAAGGGCGGTCCCAAGTCCCGGCAAGCCATTAGGCAGGCCCACCATAGAGTGGCAAAGCTCATACTCGTACACTGTCAGTGACAGGGTCGAGAAATTGGTCGCCCGTCAAAGTCGAAGCTAAAGGATGGTACAGAAGTTTTGGCATGTTGGCTCGATTGGCACCCTCCCAACGGGCTTGCGGCAAGCGTCGGATGTCCAATCTGAGAATAGAGGGCTGCGTCACAGAAAAGAGAAAGCCAGAAGCACAAATTCCAGCTTCGATAGGATTATGAAGAGTGACAAGAATGATAGAGTTGCGAGGAAAGAGTCCAGCGAATGCCGGATGAACGTTCCGAGGTGGGCTTAAGAGAAAGTTGGAGATTAGAGCCTAGCGTTGGATCGTGAAATTTTGGGGCGTTGAATGTGGCGCCCAGGATTGGCCGCGAAAGCGAGGGCGAAAGTACTGGACTTTTCAATCCTTGCTGTTACGCCAGGTTGACAGCGTTCAGCATTGAAAGAAGCTGGAGCAAGATCTGTGAAAGGTAAAGGTGCAAGACTCTGATGATCAACTGTGAGACCAGCTCGCCAGGTCAGACACGGACTCTATCTGGCAGCTGGAATGCGAGTTTTGCGAGTCGATCTCTTGTCGTGGGTGGGCGACACAGCAGCTCGGGGGGCTGCCGCATTGACGGTATGCCAATGGAGAGGGAAGAAGTCGAGGCGAGGTTGCAGCCAAGCCCAAGCTGGGTAACATGTGGGCTGTTTCCCTGCTGCTGCTCCAGGGTCTCCCCATGTCTCTCTGTGATTTGGTAAGATCTGCCTCGCTCGCATCTGCAAATGGGGCAGCCACAAAGGTTTGGTCGATCCAGCCAGTCAGATGTCGAGAGGACGCCCTGTCAATTGTGCTGCCTTCCCTTGGAAAGCTGGAGCTGCATGGCCTGCTCCAATCTCGCGTCCAACAGTTGGCAATTCTAATGTTAGTGGACGCTCATCTGTCCGTTCCATCCGGATTTCTTGGTTTGGCCAGAGAGGCGTCCGTCAAGGAATGCTCTGATTGGTACACTGGTGAGCTCCAAGCGACGATCACTAAAGGTGGGCTTGCTCCAAATCTGGGGAATGGAATGCACCAATGCTCATGGCACGACATCCACGGCCGTGGTGCTTCAGAAGATACGAGTTGTTTCAGTGACCTCTGAAGCTGTGTATACCCATCTTCCAACTTACCACCGGACCGACTGTCAAGGCCTGCTGTTCCTTGGACTCTATCTCAGAAGCGTCCCCCAGCTAGGGTCGAAAATGGGGCAGTTAGAAAGTTGTGGGCTGGGCCGCGAAAAACCTTCCGGTCCATCGGCTTCGGGTAAATCGTCAAAGGTTGCCATCCGAACTTGGTATCCTCCTGAGATCGACGCTGCCGGGCTTTGGGAGATAGTTGCACGACTCGTTGCAGCTCGCTCATGCTGTTCTGGCCATAATTGGTTGTCAACGGCGGAATACTCCGTGTTCCGAGGGACCCTTTTGAGCTGTTGTAATATTGAGTTGCCATAGAACTGAGGGGTGGTGTTATTCGCAACCGCCATTTCTCTCATGAACGTTGCCACTTCTTCAACGGAATCTAGGTATTTCGTCGGGTTGGGAAGGGTGGGGCCGAATAGTTCGCAAGCCTGAATTATGTAGAGACAGCAGAATGCTATCAGAGCATACCCGAAGTCGGCCATATATCGAATGTTCTCGCGTCTAAGAGGTGGAATGTCCATGAGACATCGAGAACAGGCATGGGCTGCTTCGACAGACTTCACCACGGATTCTCTGGCCACTTGAGCCAGGGCTCGGCGAGATGCAGTGTGAGCGTCGAGAGCTGACCTTGCCTTTTCAAGAATGTACCTGGTGCCGAAGGTGCTGATGCAGAAGCGAGTGCTCTGAAAGTGGAAATCCACAGCTCCGTTCCTGGACACGTCCACATTCGAAATAGTCATATTGGATTCTCCGCGGAGTCCCCATCGCTGACCCCAGACCTCAAGCGCCCCCTCCATGTCTTCCAGAACTGCTGCCACTTCCTCCATGTTCATGGCGCCGGATGGCTTGCACCACCATTCTGCAAGGCCTGGGGCACTTCGACCTGCTTGTTGCCACAGCATGTAAAGATCGACCTCGGCGAGGATGCGAGTCACACGTGTTGGCTTTGGCACATCTCTCAGGAGGTCAACCGCTGAACTGATAGTGCTGTCTTCCCTGATAGTAGGAGGCGTGCGCGTCATCAAAGAGAAATGATGAGACATGGTGACAAGCCAAAGCCAGTAGACGTATCTCTGAAAGGCTGGTGAGACCGATATATCTGTTGGGCTCTGCTGCAGCAGGGTCTTTAGGCCATCGATAGAGCGGTGAAGACCGGCTCTCAAGGCAAATGCTTCGATAGAATATTTCAACACCCAATGATTCAGAAATCCCGGAGCCCGGGGAGCGCTTGCGACGTGAAACATGTCTGCTGCTGGGCGGTACGCGTAGAGGATCGCAAAGGCCTGCAGTTGCGTCCACACAATGTTTTCATTCTCTGCCAGAGGTCCACTCGTGGCCCTGATGAACTCTGAGATGGGCCAGATCAGTTGTTCGCGAACACTGGTACTTCCAGGGATGAACTGCGATGCCACGAAACTTGCACAATAAGCGAGTGGCCGCTTGTGCTTCACCACATACAGTGAGTCCCTGAGATCTGCGTCGTCAATAACAGGCACATAGTACAGGATCTTCTCCCGGAAACTGCCGTCAAATGGGTTGATCAGCGCTTGTCCCTTGCTAAGGCACATGTATGGATCCTTACAATTCAATGAGCTCCACTAAAGTGGTGTCGGGGATGTCGTTCGGGTTTCTTCTGGACGATGACCCCAAGGGCGCTGCGTTGCCATCCGACTCAAGCTGGGACCAAGGCTCTGGCAACGGTTGCTGGGATGCAACCGAGTCAAGCACATCCAAGGGGGATGAGGAGTAGACTGATGGCAAGCTGGATGAGACATTTTGGTCCGGCCGTGAAGTGCTAGCAGGAGACACACGTCCGCTTTTGTAGGAGGGGCTTTGAAGTGAATATGCCGGCGGCGATGTTGGATGAGCCAGGGGCGAGCGCTGTACCGAGCCGGTGGCAGCACATGTCGTACTCTGACTGGCCTGCTGGTATAAAGCGTCTGGAGGTGGTGATGAGACTGGTGGCTGCCTCTTGCGCAGAGAGTTCGCCGATTGTTGTTGCCCTCTTCGAGAAGCATGGACGACGCAATTTCGACCCGTTCTGGAGCAGCGGACGCATGGGGGCTTGTCGGCTCCTATGCAGCGCATCTGCGGGCGTCAAGTCAGTGACTACTGCGGTCTGGGGTTCATTGTTGCGGCTTTTCACCTTTAACCGCCGACACGCGGAGCATGCTACAGGCGCAGAGCCCAAAAGCGGCTTCTGCGGAAGCGATTCAGCCGTCGCCATCGTGAACGCCGCGGCGATGTGGCACTCGAAGGGTAGTTGCAGATTTTCATCTGTCTCTATTCAATTGATCAAGTTGAAGAAACGTGGTGCGAGATGCTTTGTAAGGCGCGGCTCAGGTTTAGTAAAGAGGGAAAGGGAAAGGTGGCAAGCCGTGGTATGCAGGATGAAGCTACCGGTGGCAAAGCACGGGCAGGCGCTGACTCTAGGGGCGCCAGGGACACTCAAGGGGTGCCTCCTACTGCCTAAGACATGTGGTTGGTGAGGCATGTTTGGTTAAAGACGAGCCTAAAACCCAGTGAGGATCAAGCCTAGCAACAATAATCGCCAGCCCTTCCCAGCTGCCTAATTCCCTAATATCCTTCTCACCCAAGTTTCTCCTGTGCATCAAACTGCGCTACACGTAGTCTTCGCCCCAGACCAGCTGTTTGACTACCGCAGCTTGCAATTTGGGTATAAGCACGGTTCACATTGCTGCATCTATCACAACTGGACAATCGACGTCCTTGAGATGACCATACCCTAAGCCATGGTTCAACACTACAGTGACGGCCTGACATTGTCCTCTCCCCTCCAATCTCCACCCATCCATCGAGCCCTCAGGCGATGTTCTTGACCGACGTCCAGTCCTCTGCCCATGAATTTCAAGCCAGCAAGCTGCCCAGGGACTAGATCAACGCCATTGTCCTCCCACTTCGCATCTGGATCATCCGCGACCTGTACCAGGAGGCCTTTGATGGGCAGATTGGCAGTCGCCTCCACCACAGTGTCAGATCCATCTCTCACAATCCTCAAACCAAGATTTCTGGCCCTCGCCTGGAAAGGTACCTCCTTCAGCGGTTCGTGAAAATTGGTGTGACGAGCCAGTATCTTCGGAGGGCTTCCACGCTTCGTAGCACTGCTGACGGATTCTTTCCCATCTGACAAAGGCTCGACCAGTCGAACTGCAAACACTACAGCTTCGAACCCCGAGTATTTGTCGGAAGGCTGGAACCGCGAAGGGACGCAAGCATTCAGGTCCAGCCTTCCAAGCTCCGTGCTTTGATTCATCTTCAGAGTGACAGCTTTGAGCATCACATGGTGGAAAACGGCCTCGCCTGTCACGACGCTCCACCCGTCAACGTGAACATCAACCTTGATATCCGACAGCGTCATGTTGACCGCCCATACCTCCAAACCATCGGTTCTGTTATCTTTCTTGACTCTTGCCATACCGGCAGTTATGCCAGCACATTCACGCTTCACCGCCCAGTATGCCATCTTAGGTCGAAGATAGTAATCGGCAAGAGCCCAGGATGTCACCGGCCAACAGTCATTGAGTTGCCAAACAAGAGCTCCGCCGCAATACTCCTTTCCAGAGCCTCGCCAGAGCCGTCGCCAGGATCGATAAGCCGTAGAAAGCGTCTCGGACTGGATTAGCTGGGTTGAGTAGATGTACGCAGGGAGGGATCTCGTCTCGAACTTGATGTTAGCATTCCCATAGTGCGCTATCCGGTCACCTCCATCTTCCATTTTGTTGTGCCATTTCAAACATTCATCCTCCGATATGTCGCCATCCACAGTCACACTATATCCTGGAGGGAAGAAGTCTTGGACAGTTTTGAGGCCGGGTAATGCTTGCATGCCGAACTCACTGACGAACCTGCCAGCAAGTCTGGGGAAGTCTTGGTATGGAAACATTTCCAAATGCCAGACGTGCCATTGATGTATATCACCGACCTGCTGGGAATTGGCCATGGTGCCGCCGAACGGAGATCCGGGCCAATACGGGGTAGCTGGGCTCAGGTCCTTGCAAATGGCCGGCAGCATATGCTCGTAGAAATACCGTGCAGGAAAGGACGATTTGAGGATCTTCCCGGCGTCCTGTTCGCTCTGATCGTACTCGATCTGCCTGAGCACTGGGATGATATAGTCCTCGTTGTTCCCACACCATAGCACAATGGATGGGTGATGTCTCAGTCGCCGGACGTTCTGCTCCGCCTCCACTGCGACGCGGTTTCGCATTTGCTCGTGCGCTGGAAAGTTCCCACAAGCAAACATGAAGTCTTGCCAGACAAGGACGCCCATCTGGTCACAAGCATCATAAAACGATCCGTGCTCGTATACGCCGCCGCCCCAAATGCGGATCATAACTTGATTGGAATCGCGAGCCAGCTTGACCCAGTCCCTGTATCTCTGGGCAGAGATTCGGGTCAGGAAGGAGTCCGCCGGGATCCAACACGAGCCAGCAGCAAAGATCGGGACGTTGTTGATCTTGAAGAAGAAAGTGCTGCCTTCTTGGTCGGGTAGCGGACGCTGAACCAATTCCACTTTCCGAATTCCAAAGGCCTTGCTCATTTCGTCCACGATACTCACTTCCGAATCCTGGGGCTGGTACAGACAGACGCTGGCTTCGTACAAATTTGCTTCTCCCAGGGTGAACGGCCACCAAAGATCAGGGGTCTGTAGTTTAAAAACTGCCCGCGCGATATGTTGTTCAACATCTACTGTTTGAGATTGCTGGACCACACCGGCGCGGCAGAGTTTCAGATTTGCTTGTGTGGCTGGCCCGTCAACTATCACCACAACTTGTACCTCTGCATACTGTAGATCAGAGCCCAAAGTTGTGTGCACGGAAATGTCTGATATACGCGAAGAATAAAGATCCAGGTAAATCGGCTTCCAAGGTCCACAGGTCATCAACTTCGGACCCCAGTCCCAACCCTGCAGTCCATCTGGTCAGCCAAGAACCAGGTCGCATGTGGCGGATATAACCAAGCACTTACATAGTGATATTGTGCTTTCCTCGTCGCCAAGCGTGCCGTTCCAGCATTGAAGGTGAACCAATCATGACTCGGATACTTGAGAACCTCCTGGTCCCCAATGCGTTCTGCATTCTCGAAGATGATTTGCAGGCACTGCGCAGTCAAACAACCATTCTTCCTCACAAGCATATCCTCCGAGATTTCGATTCTGTGGCCCACGAACATATTGTCGGACTTGAGGATGTCTTGACCGTTGAGCTTGACCGTGGCGAAGGTATCGAGCCCGTCGAACACCAGTGCAGCACGTTGATGTGGCGTCCCAATTGCATCTGCAGGCAGTTCGAAGTATAGCTCGTACAACCAGGTCTGCTCTCCAACCCATTGCACAGCTTCCTCGTTCTTCCCGACGAAGGGGTCTGGAATGACTCCATTGGCCAGCAAATCCAGGTGAATTTCTGTAGGAAGAGGTCTGCTCGGTTGCGATGAGCTCAGCTGTGACGATGTCGAGGGAGAGAGAGCTTTGTATCTCCAGCCGTTGTGCAACGGCAGAGTCTTTCGAGTTGCTGCCATTGCCCGACGTACTGGATTTGTCGCAGAATCATGAGCCAATGCTTTTCCCGGGTAGAAACCATAAGCAAGTATTAATTGCTTTCATCTTGCGGGCGCTTTAGTGACTTTCGACTTGGATATTTCTGATCCGAGATTTCGGCCGCAACTTCTCGACGACACATTCTGTGTATCCGGGGAAGCAAGATATCCAACCTCCAACCATGTCGGGGTTCTGCGGATTTGGGAAGCTGAGGCACCACAGACAGGCCTAGGCCAGACCAGCACCGTTCCCCGGCTCTTTGACCCTGATCATCGTGAAATTAGCGCTCGCACTAATGCAGCCTCGGTCACCGGACGTGCATGTCATGGTGCCTCGCAGAAAACTCGATTGCGCCCCATGTTAGTGACCCAGATCATCGGTAAACATTGCTAATCGAGCGCCATACGGCTAGCAAAGCTCATGCTTGGCCGGAATATTTGATGAACATGTTAAGTGATGTGCTGTATATCGATCGGGAGAGAAGGAAGCCATGGCACCAACGCAGAAAAGAACAAAGGGGGCAATCCTCATGAACTATTCCTCTTCTAGGCTCTCCACTTTCCTGATAAGGCAAATTCCTACTCATCGTCGCCACTAGTGGTCTTTTCCCCAGACTGGACAATGCTCGCAATTTGCCGGCTCCGGCGAGCGGTCCCCAGATACTCTTTGCCACGGCCTTCACTCCAAGTTTCTTTCATACCACTATCCTAAGGAAGGAAATTTCGGACTGGCATCGTTGGTAAACTGGCTCCTGAACCAGATGCTTTGACGTCTCAGTACTTCTGCGGAGCCACCACCTCCAGTAGACTGTCTATCACAGGTCCCCGTGGCACCTGGACAGGCGAAATGCGGGGCCCCGGTGGGTGTCCTATAGTGAAGAAGGTGTGAAGCAGATAGTTGTCCGGACGTTTGTTGGTTGAGGCTGCTTCGCTACGAATAATCGTCCAATGTCTCTGTAGCACTTCTTCGAACCATATGAACTGCTCAAGCCCGGTCTCTTGCATATCTTCTCCGGGGAAGTTCGACATTCAAAAAGCTCTTGCGGTAACTTTCTCACTCGTTGACAAGCATCGTCCTTCTTCTCTCATACAATCTGCGATTGTCAAGAACAAAACCCGACCTTGGAGTCCTTAATCTAATCTTCGCTATGGCTGCGAAAACAGAGACTGATACGGTTGAGCATGCTTCGGCTGATGTGGTTGAGAATGTCGACTTGAAGCCACGCACTCGAGATGTTGACGATGCCTTGAGGTTTGCAGCCGAGAGCGAAGGCATTACATGGACCGAGGCAGAGGAGAAAAAGGTCGTCTGGAAGATTGACGCTGTTATACTCTCGTTGGTGAGATGAGACGCTTCTAGTGCATCGAGACTACTATCATTGTCCAAGATGGCTGACTCGGGGTTTCGTACACCAGCTCTTCATTGGCTCTATCGTCTCATATGCAGACACCCAGGCCTATGGCTTCGCTGCTCTGTTTGGATTGGTCAAAGACCTCAAGCTGTTTGTTCTCAAGTTGGTTGGGGGCCAGCCCGTGATCGAAACCTCGAAATACCAGCTTTCCGCAAGCATCGCTACACTGGGCGCAGTGGCTGTGAGATGATACAGGGCCGAAAACTCCGCAAAAGCTGACAACATGGGATAGGGCCAATATCCACTGCTCCTCCTCGCG